TTAATAATATCATCTTACCACATATTATTGACTATGGCATAGCCTAATTTATCAATAATAATGGTAATGTGTAAATAATATCATATTTAGTATATTCATACCACATATCCTTGACTGTGGCAGACCCTAACTTGTCGAGAATTATGGTAATATATATATATATATATATCATTATATTCCTACCTTTCTGACCGGGTAGAGCGCTCGTGCTGATAACGTATTATGAAATGCGAGGAATATAAAGAACACAATGTAAAAACCGGAAATAAATCACAAGGTGCCTTTTTCTTTTTTTCTTCTTCTTTTCGTACGTTCAAACACTACAATGGTTTGGCCTCCTTTTATAGGCAAATGGGCACACTTTTCTATATATATATAAGATAAGGTAATAAAATTATTAGTGGTAAGATTCCACTTGTTACAACAATTTACAATCATGCATAGTTTTGAAACCCGACCCGGAAATCGACCTGCGCAAGTTTCTGGGTCACCGGTTTACCGATTTAACCAACGGGTCACCGAGTCAATTGTTGAACCGGATAATTAATTTTAAAATTTTTAAAATTATATATTAAGTATTTTCTCATATAAATATACATAAAAGTAACAAAATTAAATGTTTTGTATATAAGATTTGTACACTAAAGTGTTAATAATATATATTTAATGATAAACATATACCATCTAAATATATATATATACATAGTTTTATTTTTAAAAACAAAAAATATTTTAAAAAATTAAAAAAATAAAAAATATATATTGGGCTCGGGTCAACCGTGTTGACCCAACTGGGTCGACTGGATCAAGGTTGAGTTTTGACCGGGTCCTTTGTTGCCCGGTCCAATTAGCCCACGGGTCCGGATCGATCGGATCCCGGGTCAACCCGTCGGGCCGGGCCGGATCTCAAAAGTATGCAATCATGTAAACAACTAGTAACATCCTACGAAAAGAAAGACCTATATGATGAGACACCGGTAGACCTACGCGATGACATAGTGTTAAAGAGGCTAGATGGGAGAGAGGGTTTTGGCATAGAGAATTTTTAGAGAGAGGCTCTTTTTTTTTTTGTCAAACGATAAGTGATTCTCATAACAAAGAAATGTCGATGTACACAATGTCGAGCCTACCAACGGGTAGAAAATACACTGCGAGAGACACTATGCAGAGTGGTCTAAAAGACAAACACACCCAAGGATCAAGCAGGTACACAACCACTCGACACTTGACAACTTCTAGCTAACCAACAAAGCCCACACTTCAAAAGCTCACAAGCTAAAACAGAAATACAAGATTGCTATATAGAACAACAAAAAACAAACCAATGAAAGGAAAACGACTCAAACCAGTTTAGCAGCCCTCTGCAACAACAAAAAACCAAGCTATGCCACTGCACAAAAATCCTGCCATTCCACCAAAGCTCTGTTAATTAGGACTGCTTCTGGTAACCTCTCATAACGGAACATCCATACGTTTCAGAATCTCCACAGCCACCACAAAATGTAGGTTGTTAGCTAGATTCTAGCTTCTGAAATATCTGATTTATCAATGTCATACACCTGCCACCACCACATTTTAAAGCTTGTGTCCTCTAGATGTATCCCTTCCCACGAAATTGGTGCTATCTGCCATTATCTTCTTGCCTTGCTACAGTGAAAAAATAGATGTTCAATAGTTTTCTCACTCTCACCACAAACCCTACAGATAACATCAACATCCAAGCCTCTTTTTATCAAGTTCATGCTCAGAGGTAGAATGCCAGAATAATACTTTCATACGAAATATTTGATTTTCCATTTCCATTTCACTTTCAATTTCTAGCTTTTGTCTCTGACCATGGAGTCCATCTTTATTGATTTACTCCCCTCAGCAATATCCAAGAGCTTTACCTTTTCTCGGACTAAGAATGCGTAAGAATCAACAACAGAGAAGCTACCCTTCTTGCTTAAGGTCCATCTCCACTTCTCTACACTTTAAGTGTTAATTGTGTTAATCTCAAGTATAGTTGCACTGTCATGTTCAGAGAAGAGACTTCTCACCACTTCTTCATTCCATTTGCTTCCCGATTCAACCAAGAGTTCATGAACCCACAATGGAGAGGAGTATGGACTAATGAGCAGTTTTAGAGGCAGCCCACCCAACTTAAGTGCCCAGCCACCATCTTTAACCAATGTATGTCTCCCAGACTTAATCACTGTAAGAAACGGAGGAAAAACGAGTGCGGTCATGCAGGTTAAGCGCACAAAACAGGGAAAGCCCAGATGATGCCCAAGTGTGTTCCATCTCAAAACAAATTGGTGGAAGGAGGAGTAGCCCATTAGACTTATAAATTAATTACTGTACGAAACGAGAGGGAAAACCGGTACGGTCACGCATGTGAAGCGCACCAAAACAGAGAAAGCCTAGATGAAGCCCAAGTGAGGTTCTATCCTAAACCAATTGGTGGAATGAGGAGTTGCCTATTAGACTTATAAATTAGACATTTTTCCCTATATAAACGATGTGGGACAACTCACAAGTGAATATTGTAATACGTTTCCTTACTTGTGAGTCCTTCATAAGAAGCTCAAACCCATATACGAAGTTGAGTGCCCAAGCCCTACTAGAAACGAGTTGGGTAAACAGGTACGTCATCGCACAATCCCAATAGAACCGATTCTAATACTATGTAAGAAACGGGAGAAAAACGTGTGCGGTCCCACGCACATGAAGCGCACTAAGACAAGGAAAACCCAAATGAACCCCAAGTGATGTTCTATCCCAAAACCTGTTGGTGGAAGAAAGAGTAGTCCATTAGACTTATAAATTAATCTATTTTTTCTATATAAACAATGTAAAACAGCTCACAAGTAAATATTTTAATAATCACATTTCTAACAACTTTTTTTAAAATTGGAACACCTCAAGCCAATTGTTCCAAAGCCATCCAAAGCCATGAAGCATATGACTTTTTAGAGAGAGGCTTTGTTTGGTATTTTAGTCGTTGGTTATAACGAGAAAATAAAATCCGTGATGTGCAGAATCTTACCGGCCGACCAATGGCGATTTGTTTATCATGTCAACAGTTGCCCCTCTCTCACAGAAAGACGACAGAATATCCGCCACTCTCTTAACCTCAATCGCCAGACCAAATTTCCATTTTTTTTTTCTTTTTTGCTAGTATTTTTTAAGCGCCACAACTCTGATTCTTCATTCTCTTCGTTTCCACTCTTCTCTCTCTCTCTCTCTCTCTCTCTCTCTCTCTCTCTGGGCAACTACTGGCCGTCGCAGGTGCGTTTCATCAAAAGCCCATGATAGAGTTAAATTATTTGTCAAGTTGCAATCGTGTTTCCAAGCAATTATTGCATCACTCAGATTTAGCGAACACCGAGGTGGGGTTCTTGGTATTTGCAAATTTTTTATCCCAAAATCATTTTATCTTCCGATTCTTGGTAAAGCCCTTAAATATCTTCTGCTCTTTTGGCCGCCCGGGCCCTGGGGCATAGTGATTTTAGCTCTCGGGCCCCCTTTTAGTTGAAATTTAGAGAACGATTTCTTGAATTTTTGGTTGATTTTGAGCTGTATGGATCGTGGGTTGGTGCAAAGGGGCTTGAATTTTACCAAGAGGAAGAGGAGATGGATACTTTTCCTGGGACTGTTTGGATTTTCCACATACGCTGTGTACAAAGTGTATCACATGCCCTCGGTAGCTAGAAAGAGGAATAGAATGTTGAAGCTTTTTGGATCCTTACTTTCCATGGCCGAAATGGTTTCTGATTCATCCGAGACAATCTTGATAGTGTCAAAGGATCTGAAGGGTTTTCTGAATTCGGATTCGGACGAAATCCCCAATAGTTTGAGGCAACTTTCGAAAATCGCACGGTCTGAGGAGTTTTGCGAATCGCTGGCTCGTGTTTGTCAGTCTATGACGGTTGGGATTTTGAGGGGTTATAATAAGGAGAGTAGCGAGGGTGAGGTTCAAGAAGCCGGAGGTTCAACTTTTCCTGATCGGATTATGGATAAATTGATGTCTAGTGCAGGCATGGGTTTTGTCTCGGTCATTGTCGGTAGCTTTGCTAGGAATTTGGTTTTGGGATTTTACGCTAGTAACAGTCGGCTGAATGAAGGGTCGAGTGGAGATGATGGAGACTCGAGTGGGCCCCAGGAGAAAAACTCGAGCTCCCCAGCCTTGATCGGGTGGGTGAGTAGTGTGGTGTCGGATGATAAATGCAGGGTCTTGATAGCCGATTGCATAAAGACATTTGTCAGCACTGCAGTTGCAGTCTATCTCGACAAGACCATGAATGTCAACTTTTACGACGAGATGTTTTCGGGTCTGACCAATCCCAAACATCAGAAGAAAGTGACCGACATTTTGGTCTCCCTGTGTAATGGGGCCGTCGAGACTCTCGTGAAGACTTCACACCATGTGCTGACATCATCGAAATCGAATGACGGCTACTCAAAGATTGATGAGAGTGAGATTTTGAAATTGGGGAACAAGAAGGATGTTGAGGTGGAAACCCATTTGACGAATGATATGAACAGTGGTTGGGTTAATATTGTCTCGTCAACACTGGCTGTGCCGAGAAATCGGAAGTTTGTGCTGGATGTGACTGGGAGAGTCACTTTCCAGACAGTTAGGTCGGTTGTCAAGTTTTTCCTATGGAAAATGTCGGAAGGTTTGAAGAGTAGCGCGAACGTGGTTCACGATGAGGTTGTCGAGAGGGGATTTGAGGTAGTCAAATATGTGGGGTACAAATCGTCCGTTATTCTTACTGTGTGCCTGGCGTTGTTTTTGCATATCATAGGAAATACTCGTGAACTGTTGCCTGCGTGACGTGTCTTGATGTTTCGAGTGTAAGCAAATATTTTCTGTTTACACTTTTTTGGCTTCGAAACTAATAAGCAATTCTACTGTATGAAAAAGTATATTAAGCATGGCATGAAGGTTCTGTATGAATTCTTGGCCCTCTTTGGGACGAGCTGCTGGTCAGACTATTTGAGGGCAAGAATGAAAATAAGCAGCTGGATTCTTTAATGTCTCGTGGTGTTCTAGGATATGATTAGCTTTGTTTGTTGTACATTTTACATCTTTTGCATTAGTATAGTCAACCATCCTAAGCGTAGTTCCAACAGGATGTAATGATATACAATATAGAAGAATAATAGATTAATTTTGTCTTTGGTGTGTTACTGTTCTTGGACATCGATCATCATTGGGTCTTTCTTTTTCGTAAGTTAGCTTTCTGCTTTTTTTTATTTTTTTTTTCCGATACTTTTTTGGGGCTGGTTTTGAGCAGCAGTTGAGGCCTTTCTATACAGAATAACAAGGAATAGTATAGATTGGGATTTTGAGATATTGTCTTGATTTGGATAGTCTTATTTGAGAAGATAATCTGTCTTGATTTGAAAACTTTGTTGAGGATGTTGGTCATTGAGTTGCAGGTACTGGCAAGGGACTTGTCGAAGCGATTTTATGTGTAGCCTGTAGAGGTAGTATTAGCCAACTCAAAA